TCTCCTTTCCCTTTCTTCCTTCTCTTCTTTCCCTCCCATTTTCCATACATCCCTGCCGGCTTGTACAGCGCTGTATCTTCCAGCTTTTCCACAGGCACAACCAGCAACAGTTATCCCGGTGTTTTAGGTATTTCCCAGCTCTCACCACCCCACCTCATTCCCGCCGGGAAGCGTTTCAGGATCGTGCCCGGCTTGGAGCAGCAGTGCTGGAGCCGAGGCTGCTCCCTGCTGCCGTCCTCTGGGCACTCCCAGCAACGGAGCCGCAGCTTCCCAGGCATTCCCAGGCATTCCCAGGCAGCCACAACGCCAGCGGCCACCTTTCCCTTGGAATTTCCCCCTCGGCTCAGGGCTGGGAACCCCACGGAGCGGGGTGGGAACGGTGAGGGGCTTCCTGGGCTGATCCAGGTGGAGGGTTCCCTCCTTTGCCTCCTTCCATGTTCATCAGCCCATAACTGTTTTCCAGTAATTCCTTTCTGGTAAGATGAATTCCGTGGTTCTTTGGGACAGTTTCTCCCAGGAGCTCAGGGGCAGGAGGACCAGCTGATCGGAAGCTTCGCGGGGAGCCCCCGCCCCGCCCGGCTCCGTCAGGCTCCAAGAAATCCCCTTCCAGACCGGGTAACACCTGTGGGGCTGGAATAACACCTTGGATCACTGGGAATGCTGCCGAGCTGCACCTCCCTCACCCCACTATCCCTGTCCTCGCTGGGGGGGTCACTGTGCACCCACGTCCTTGTTGGGGGGGAGTTTCCCAGAGCACCTCCGTCACTCCTGGGATGCTGCAATTCCCAGGGGGTGGGATCTCCCTGTTTTCCTCACATCCCCCTCGGTAAAATGGGAATTTGGAGCACTGTTTCCCCCCTTCACGGGTTTATTTACGGACTGTGCACCTGGGCCACTCGGTGTGCACGGAAAACACGTGGGAAAAACGGAAATCCTGGGGAATGGCAGCCCCTCGGGGTGTTCCCGGCTGTGCCAGGGAGCGGTGCCAGGGCTCCGTAGGGAAGCAGATCCTGGCGTCTCTCTGCACTCCCACCTTCCCTTCCTCACAGATCCCCTGTGCCCAGGGAGCTGGTGAGCTCCAGGTGAGCAGGAAGGCTCCCAGGATTGTTGCCACCCCTCCTGGGGGAGCTCCATCCCTCGGTGCTGAGCTGTGGGATGGGGGACGTGTCCTGATGGAAGCGGGGCAGGAGCGTGGCTGCTCCCCTTGGGACCCGGAGCTGAACCTGCCTCTCCCGTTTGGGGGGCTCCTCTTTGGCTCCTCCTGGTGAAATGGGATGCCTTGGTGTGGTTTGGAAGTTTGGGGGAAGGGATGTGAGGAGGGATCTGGGAAGGATCCCGGGAGCTGTTTGTGTGCCTGTGGGGTTGGGCACGGGCACGAGGCCGGTCACTCCCGCACAGATTGCTATTTATTGATAAAATTCCTGCATGGAAACAGAATTCACTCGGTTTGTGGCCCCATCAGGGAAGCAGAAAGCACAGGGAAGTGATTTGGGATGTGTCTTTTTCCTTGCAGAAACCAGAGAAGACAGAACCAAGCGGCTCTTCCGACATTATACTGTGGGCTCTT